ACATCAGTGACTATCCTATATATGGAAGGATTGTGGAGGTCTTTAGAGAACATAACAGCAAAGGCAATGAGCATCACAGCGATCAGACAAGGATGGAATATTCACTTCTGCATAGAGAACTTGTGAAGAGCAAAAAGCACCGAGGCATAAATGTAATCTCTGGTGATGGATGGGATTAAGGCTAGAGAGAATTGCAGGAGACTGCCTAATATATTTGGTCGCCATAAGAATATTTTGATAAAATTAGGGCTTAATGTTTGTCAAAGGAGAGTTCATGGATCAGTCCCCCATGAATGATGAGCGAGGGTTTTAAGGAGGTTCAGCAGCATATGACAAGTTGCCTTCAGAGAGGTAGAGTTTTCCAGGATAACCTACGGTCAAACAGAAGGCCAAGAAACTTTACCATATCACGTTCTGGGATACGCAAGCCATATAGGTACAATGGATGATCAGAGACGACAGTGTCTAGTGAAAGTAACTTGGAGTTTTAGTAGAAAATTTAAACCCATGTGTGGTGGCCCAATTGGAAATACTGTTGACCGCATGCTGGGAAGAAACTGCAATGAGGTGGCAGTCAGAGCCTGTGAAGTTAACACAGCTATGACCAAATATTGGATGGAAGAACAGGCCAGATCATTTATAGCAAGGAGAAATATATGCTCAGAACACCCCTGGAAAACACCTTAAGCTTGGACAAAGTCCGGGGTAAGTATATTAACTGACACTGAAATGTCTAAGTTAGAGGAAAAATGGGAGATTGCCTCAGAGGCCTAAGGAGTGGGCCTGGGCCAAGATATACCTCCAAGTTGTCATTTGCATTTTCGAGGTCAAAAAGATGGCAATAACCGTGTAGTTATTGGCAAAGGCATTACAGACTTACCTAAGTGTAGGAAGAGGTCAATGGTAGAACGGCCCTTACGAAAGCCATTTTAACTGGTCGAGAAACTTCTCTAAATACCACATCAAACGTCTATTTACCAGACCTGCCATCACCTTGCAAAATGCACTGGGACAATAGTGGGAGGCATAATGTCCCGTAGTACCCGATTTGCAGAAAAGGAGAAAAATGGCAGATTTCCACAGATGGGGAAAAACCCTGACCAAACAAGATTAAAGAGTCTTAAGAGGACAGCAAGAGCTGACTGATTTAAATGTTGTAGCATACGAATATGAATGCCGTCAGGCCCAGCTGCCGATGAACGACAAGCTAAGTGTTTCCTCCAATTCCTGAAGTATAAAAGGAGCAAGTCTTCTCGGATAGAAAAGTCTAAGGGCTCTAACACTGGCAGACTGAGAAAAGACTAGGGTCATAGATGGAGCCCCTGAGCAATAAGGACATTACCAATTTAGGTGGCAACGTCAAGAGGGTTTGGTGTATCGACACTGGCAACTGGAAGAACAAGAGCCGGGTCAGGAGTATTTACTTTTTCCTGACTGCACTCGGGCCGAAGTGACTATAGAAAATCCCGCCAGAAAGTGAGTTTAGCATCACAGATTACACTGCAAGCGACTGCTCTTCTGCTTAATATCTAGGAGCGTCTGGTTCTCTTGAACCAGTACCTGCCCCACGCAGCACTTCATATTTTGTAGCTTATGTGAAGCTAGTTAAGAGGGGGTAGGGAAGAGGTAAAATCTCGTCAATGGGGGACAAAGGAACCTCATTAAATGCATAGACAGGGTAAAGGTCTCATTTCGCCCGGTCAAATTGCAAGTGTGGGCTATGAAGTGGTGAATATTAAGCAGAAGGATTGGAAAAATGATAGCAGTCATGCAAGTCTGGGAGGACGGACCAGGTGAGTTGAGGACGAGCAGACTGAGATCGATGCAACAGAATGAGCGAAGATCAAAATTGGTGGGAGAACCCGTATGTGAAACGGGGGGGGGGGGGGGGGGAAGGAAGAGAAAAAAAAGCCATCTGAATGCCACGGGAATTAACGACCCCCTCCCCCTCGGAGGAAATAGTGGGCATTAAAATAGCCAAGTAACAGAAGTGGTGGGAGTAAGAAAGAAACCAGAAAGGAAATATCTAGGATAGATAATGCCAGAGATACAAAGAACATTGTACAAGCCTAGTGGATACGAGCTGCAGTGCAGTATGAACAAGGAGCCGACCATGGAATAGTGCATATAAGGGCACTTTCATTAAAGGTTCCATTAGAAAAAGGATCCGACGAATACAAGTCATAGCCCGAGATGGGATGGATAAAGTAATCTGGATGTTTGTAAAAAACACCAACAAGGGATAACTGGGAGATTAACACCTGAAGCTCACCCAGTTACCTCTGATATCACATTTCACTAAAGCCACGATTTTTAAAAAATCTGCAGGTAAAGATATCTATGGACTAGAAGGGTTAGAAAAGTCCACATGTGGTGGCAGAAAACGTTCAAGCAGCGAAGGAATGGGGACACTGCAAATAAAGGAGTTGTTCCTCTTCACTTTTGTCTGCACGAGTGGAGAATCTTTTCCAATGGTCTAGTCTATTCTGATATCGCTTCAAGTGTTTGAGGACAAGGATGTTTTATGTGGTACAATATTGGAAATGGAAGGGAGAGTAAAGATCAGGAAAACTATGGAGTGTAACGAAAGTAGGAGGGAACTAGAGATGCTTGGGAAGGGTCTCTGGATACGAAGCAACCTGGGAAGGGGGGGGCCCCACAACTTGCAAGGGAACAGGTAAAGAAGGTACTGTACGAGGATGAACCTCTACTCAACAGCCAGTTAAAAAGTGAAGAACTGGGTAAAGCTGGGAAGGAAAAAAATGAGCAGGTTGCAGAAGGGAAGGGGCGACAGGAGATAAACAATGGGGATGTTTTGGACTTCGGAGTAGGAGGGCAATGGGGAGTAGGTGCGAGGTCTTCGACAAACTTAAGAGGAAAGCGAGAACAAAATGAGGTGCCGAGGTAGACACCAAGAGTCCAGGACAATTAAAGAATTACACACAGGGGTAACTAGAGGCTGAAGTTTGGACCCCAGTGGGAGGGGGGTGGGGGATGTTTAGCATCTTCTATAAACCCTGGTAAGCTTCCCTTTGAGGTGTAGATTAGACTGCCATAGCATACAAGAGGCCTTTGCCTCAGGCATGGATTTAAAGCTCTGAAGTAAACTTTGCAATGGCTGGAGCAAGAAGAGCCATATGACAATTAAGGCAAGAGGGAGAGACGTATTGGTATGGTAATCGGCACCACAGACTGGGCATTAGGCAACTGACCTGTAGTATTCTGCTGGATGACCAAAATGCCAGCAATTTGTACCGTTTCAGTGTAGGAATCTCCTTTTGAACTTCCAACTCTTCTGCTCTACAAAAGTATACATATTAGGATGGACACTCAGCAGTGTGGGAGGATGAAAGTTTCTACTTCGAGGATTGGCATTTTCAAGTTTCAGCCTTTCCAGGCTATCGCCATATCTGGGAAGCGAATGGTAAGGGGGAAAGAATGACAAGAATTTAAGGCTTTCAATATCTTTAGGAATAGTATCTAGTTTTATCGAGATACTGAGCTTAACATTTTGGACAGCGATTTATGTACCGCTCGAGAGCGATAAAGGATAAATGCCAACATTGTTGGTGCGCTTTGCCAATACTATGGTTTGAAAGATAGGTAGAGGAAGTCCAAGGGGGGGGGGAAAAAAAAAAAAAAAAAGAAAGAAAAAAAAAATTTAGTGTACTGCATTTCGAAACTAAAGGGTGTGATGTGCCACTCTCAGAGTGGCGAGCATTTAAGTGTGGGACCAGAGTCAGAGGTGGAAGTGCAAGAGATCCAAAAAGTGTCACACTGTAGAGGGAGAAGCCAGAATCGGAGTGACGGTCTGATTTATGTAACAAGTAAAACGTGGTACTTCGAGCAAGCGTTTGAAGTGAACTAGCAGTAGGGACAGGGACATTAGAACTGCCCAATGGGTGGTCAAGCAACTAGGTAGGGTCAGAACAGCCTGTGGTATCCGAAAGGGGGCCCAGGGAAGTGAGCAGGTTCATAGAGTGGGAACTCATGGTTAAGTTTTTTTTTTTTTTTTTTTTTAGAAAACACCGGGTGGGGGGGGGGGTGAGGGAGAACGTGGAGGAATAGCCTAGGAGGAATGAAAGGGCCACGAATTTCCTACTGCACCCAAGTAAACTAGCAATCTGGGATAGCAACCTCATCTGCTGGGCCACCTCTGGGCAGCAGCTGGACACCTGCGATGAAGCCTACTTCCTTTGGCCAGCCCTTTCCCCCAGAACCCGAAATTTTCTTCCAGGGATACACCCGTTTGGGGGTGGGAAATCCCACCCTGAGACACTAGAGGGATCGGGTACATCCCCAGGCGATACAGATTCCATGGCAAACTACACTGCCAAGGACCTCAACAGAATGGGGATTGACCCTGGTACCCTTTCTCCTACCTAGGAAGTAGAGTGCCTGTGGGAAGAATCCCGATGGCTGAAAATAGGAAGGGTACAAGAAGGGATTGGAAAAGGGGGATGGGCAATTAAGTTTGGTCTGAGGACAGACTGCAAGTGGTCGGAATTTATTTAATTATTAATGTAGTCCCTGCTGCGTGTAGACTTTTCGTTAACTGGAGAAGGCAGCTGTAATTTATGCAAATAGGTGTTCAGGGTTTCTTCCCGGCCTACTTTTGTGTGAATATAAAGACACTTAATATTCATCTGTGCAAGATTGTGGAGAGATGCCACCTAGAACCTGAGATTGCTTTTACCTGCCTATCACTTGAAGGATAGAGGGGAACGTCATTTGAGTTACTCTGGAGTGGTGGGCTTTTTTAGAGTGGATGGGGGTTTGCGTCACAAGGGAATACTAATTCCACATGAAGGCACACTGCTTTAATTAAGAAAAAATAAAGTTTCTAATTTTACAAGTTATTTGGCAGGGTAAATCTTCACAGAGAAGGGAACACAAGGTAAGATTTATAGAGACTTGCTTTGGCTTACTGCTGGAGCTAGAGGAAATTAAGCTTGGCAGTTGATAAGTGTAATTAAAATTCGGTTAAGTAAACTAAATAGGAAGATTTATCATTTAATATAGCCAGGAAGTTAGATTAATTAGTATTACAGAGTAAAGTTTAATTATAAAACACTGCTGTCTCGCAAATAACTGGTCTTGGAGATAAACAATTTGAATCATGCCAAGTAACACCGTCGTTGTAACGATTGTTCAGTACAGCAAGACACTGCTCGTTGCCTTCGTCATTGTCTGGTTGAGGAAGACCACGTCTGCAAGTAGGAAAATTATTACTCTTGGGGGTGGTAAGTTGTCACCAAATGAGGAAACCAAGTTGAAGGGGTACAAGTCTTATGATGGTGGAAAGAATGTATTTCGTACATACCTGCCAGTAACAGACCAGTTTGTGTACGAAGAAGAGATTCTAGATAACCATTGCCAGTAGGTAGAAAACTTGCTGCCGCTAGTCCAACAAGTAGCTACGTTGTCTGAAAAGATAATATTTCTTAACGTTCAGGAAGCGTAGCATTTGATTTGTTAAGGAATTAAGAGCATTTACTTACAGTCAAGTAGAAACCTCGATACGAAGCTCTGTTCTCGTCCACTTTCTATACTGATTGCTTGGAAGCCATTCCCAAGGGCAGCACAGTAGTTAACAGCCTGTTTCCAAGTGTAAGTAAGTCCACCATCGTGGCACCAGGAGAAGTGGTATGCCCGACCATCTTCAATTTCGTCAACCTGGAGAGAAAAGAAAGTTATAGTTGTGCTTTTAACATTAAAGTATAGATAGGTAGTATTGATTTGAAAGTGCTTACCAGAGGTTTGGCAATAGGGTTGCATCGTGAAGGTGGAATGTGACTAGTCTGTAGGCTAGAAGCGATTTGCGTAGGCTGTTCTGTACGTCTTTCTACGAATGTTTGCACAGGTAATTGTGGAAAAGTTTGTTGTACAGGTATTTGTTGCTGGGGGAATTCCACTTGTGCAGGGATGAATTGTTGGTTGTGGGTTAACTGTGGCTGTAGAGTTAGTTGGACTGGTGGTCTATATTGCAGGAATACGTTCCTAGCTGGTTCTTGTGGGAATAAATCTTGTATGGGTATTTGTTGCGGAGCAAGTACTGCTGGAGATGAAGGCAAGGGGCCGAGAGGCGTTGAAGGCAATGGGTTAGGTATGGTAGGATTGAAGTTACCCCTATCATCGAAGGCGTCGTTGGGAAGAAATGAAGCGTATGCCAAGGTAGGCACTACTACTACCAGAAGGATACTCTGCGCCATCTGAAAATATTTAGAAATTTAGAGCAAATTTGCATTCGAAGTAAAGGCTGTAAAGTGCACGGTGCGCTAGTGACAGCGTACATTTTAAGCTGAATTAAGAATACCTTGAAGTTCCTGGTCAATAATGGGAAGATTATTTGAAGCTTATTAGAGTGATTTATCTAATACTAACCTACACAGAATAAGGTATGAATCAAGTATACGGAAAAAAAAAAACTCACTTCGGTAAATGTTGCCATTGTGACTGTTGAGAGCACACTGATCAGCACCTCCCAAAACACCACTTTTATACAGGACGCTTTAAACTTGATTGGCTGAGCATTTTAGCAGCAACATTGTCTCCTTCGATTCTAATTGGCTGGAGTACTGTAAGCCAAGAGCTTGTTTAACACTAACGACTGAAGCTAACAGTACGTACCAACCATGAAAGGCTTGTTTTTCATAGTTCATACATTGAGAAATGCATATCTTTTAATTCATATAAAATCAAAGTTTTTTTTATATTTTATTTAAAAAACTTTACAGCTTAATATTAAATAAAAAGATATAAAATGAGTACAGTATGATCCTCAATCCTACAGAACATACACTGACAAAATATAACAACACATTGTAACTGACACAAAAGAGGTTACCCATATACACTCGCAAATATTTCCATATAACATACTTTACAATATAAACAATATAAACTATATAAACCTTTTAGGCTTATATAGTTAACATAATATGATTGTGACATATGGCAAAGGTTCACAACCTTCACAGTAGTAAATTTTTTTTTATATTTTATTTAAAAACGCAATACATAATTATACATGTAGACAATGTAAACAATGAAACGTAACCATTATATATAACAACAATAAGCTTCACATTCCCTACCTTAGCACTAAACTTATACATAAGAAAACACACGTTCAACTAAAAAACGTTTGATACCCCCCCAAAAAAAAAACCAACCATCACACATAACATACATTTAACTAAACTAAAGACATATTCCTCGCCCAGCTGCCGGTGAGGGTGGACGTTTGCTCCTCCTCTCTGACAGGCGTAAGTGCTAGCCAGGCTGTCACAATGGTGGTTGGGGTGCGACGCAGAATTAACACTGTCGGCATAGAATTACTGAGAGGTACAATTTTTTTTTTTTTATTTTATTTAAAACCACACAATACAAATAGATAAAAGAACACAGTATCAGTTCTTACACAAAATTACAAATTTCATTGTCTAAATGAACACAGACGATTAACGTTGTGTTGCCACAAACTGTCCCTCATCCTCCATACATTATATCCCATGTTACTATGTTAAGTTAAGATTACACAAGATGACATAATATTCATCATTATTATTATTATAGCCAAAGATGACCCCAAAACTACAATCTGCATTATTTTTTCCACTTTGTTATTTATATATCCTTCATACAGAATCCTTACAAATGACATAACTGATTCTGTAACACTGTTAATTTTATCTTTCCATACACTTGTCACGATTACCGTTAATTTTGATAGATCTGATCCTGATAGAAAAATTTTACTAATCTTCCCCCTTCACCCCGAAGCAAAGAAACTAATATCACCAACAGATTGGGATATATATAAACTTTTACTAGCGTTCATCAAATGTTACATTGCTATTTTGACAATGGAGTGTATCACCACCCCTAAAGAATGTACATTATTATATTTCCCTAATAATAAAAAAAAAACAGAAATTTACTTTACATGAGAGTTGTTTAATAACCACTAACTTGTTTATCTGATATATTATGAACTCAGCCATAAAGATAAATTAACCCTAGTCACCAGTTTACTGTACATTGTATCATGTTTTCCTCATAATAACTCCAAACACAGGGAGCTTTCTTATCGTTGAGAAAATTACATTCATACACCACACACTACATTTACACACATGCACCTCCATACCCAGAGCCATTCACACTTGAACACCCAGGTGTTCTTGTGCCATCCCTGCACCAACTAAACGTTGCACCATTACATTCACACTTGAACACCCAGGTGTTCTTGTGCCATCCCTGCACCAACTAAACGTTGCACCATTACATTCACACTTGAACACCCAGGTGTTCTTGTGCCATCCCTGCACCAACTAAACGTTGAACCATAACACAAAAGTTAAAAAACAAGCTAAGTGAATACAAATTTAAATATTATCTATAAAACTGTGTACACAGAAACAACACAACACTTGTTATTCGTAATTGTTTGTGGCATATATACAAACTTTTACCATCATCCATCAGATGATACATTACTAATTTGACACAGAAGTGTCTCACCACTCAAAAAAAAAAAAAAAAAAAAAAAAAAAAAAAAAAAAAAAAAAAAAAAAAATTACTGTACATGAAAATTTAAGAACCACGAAATCGTTCATCTGATATATTATGATCTAAGCCAGAAAGTTAAATTAACCCTGAACATCATTTTACCTAACATATCTTGAGTTCCTCATAATAACGCCACACATCGGGAGTTTTCCTATCTAAAATACATTACTTTTAACACAAACACTACATTCACACACATTCACCTCCATACCCAAAGCAATTCACACGTGCACACAGTTTTACGTGTTCCATTCCTACAACAGCAACCGGAATCAGACTAGTTACCACCCAACCATAATCCATTACACTACATACCATCCACCCTTGTCATTCGCTAAAAGCACAAGCACTAAAAACAATGAGTATCAGACCCCTTGCCTGACGCTCCTCAGTAACCTGACAGCAGTGAGTGAGACAAAGCAGGCCTAGTCACCGACATTCGCTGCCTGACCACGGTAGTGGGCGGTAGTGCTCTGCACCCCTCTGCTGTGTGTAGGCAAGCGCCCTTGTCAGTTACCTGGCTGCAGTGGTGTGAAGTGGTGCTGTCACACCTCGGCAACAATTAGGTGCACT